TTTAAATGTTGGAGCACCTGTCTACCTGTGTGGTGGTAACAATAGTGCTGGACAACATCCCTGTGTAGTCTGACAGTTCAGGAATGTCTTTTGGTCCCAGTGGGCTTCTAATGCCCTGTGCTAAGTACTTGCTGCTGCAGATAGATGGATTAACCTTGGGCATATACCCATAGTGTCACCATTGTCACGCTGCGTTTGGTTGTGTAGACTTATCCTCAGAGAGAACCTTCTCTCTTGCGCTGTTCACGCGCACAGATATATCAAACTAATGTAGTCTCTTCTGCTCTTCTACTACCTCTGGTCATTCATGCAATTTCTGCTCTTAATGTGATTTATATTTTCCCCGTAGTCCTTATAACTATTTTTTTCAGCTGAGAGGTTAGAGTTGGTGGAGTTTTTTTGCTTGTTTTGGTTTGGTTTTAATTTAAAGATTCATATTAAGGAATTAAAGGTTTTAGAGGAAGACTTTGGGCAAATTTAAATGCTAGTATTTAAAACAATTTAAATTTTAGTAAGGCAAGTCAACAGCAGTAAGGACTGCTTAGCTTGAGCTACTTGCGAATTACAATAAAAATATGTACACATAATCTTCAGCTGTTTTATGAATGCACTGACTTCCTTGTTGAGGAATAATTGTGTGGGTTTATAACACTAGAAGTAAATGTCACTAAATATGTACAGTTGGTCACAATATTGATTAGCTATAAACAGAGTTCCAACTCAGAGGAAAAACAGACCTTCAGGCCAGCTGTTGTGAGTGAATGAGTGGAGGAAAAACAGACCTTCAGGCCAGCTGTTGTATCACCAGTGTAAATGAGTGAATCTGCGAGCAGGAACAAACTGGGCAGGTGGAGAGGGAGCGATAAAGGCCACTTCCAGCTCAGTACTATGACCCAGCAAGCGTTGTGGCAAATAGCTTTGTCCCTGGTGGGGATATGTTTTGAATTCTAGTTCAGCTGAAACTTGACTGAGCTGTGATCCAGGAGCCTCTACCTACCGTGGAAACAAGATACTGTCAGTCTAGTGGTTTGGCAGCATTTTACTGCTTTGGGAAGCCCCAGTTCTAAAGCCAACAAACTTTCAGGGAGCTGTAAGTTGGAAAAGAAACTCCTGTGAGTAATGTGTGGTGACTTATCCACTTTCTTTTCAGCATTTCCTGAGTTCTAAAAATAACATTTTGTGTGTGGTTAGCCTCAGTGATTTTGATATCTGGACTGTGTTGACCATGTGCTGTATTTAATGCTGCTTTGTGAAATGGACAAGGTGAGGTTAAAAGAACAGTGTCTTTCGAAAATGCTTTGGATACTGCTTAGGTGATGACTGAGCTTTGGCAGGGGCTGCCCAATCAAGAAATCTGCTGCATTGCCTTATTTAAGAGCAGTATAATAGAGTGAGGAATTAGGGTTTAATGCAAGGGAAATGTGCAATGTGGGTGGGTCATGCAGATGGATTTTGGTAGGGAGACGAAAAAGGTTTCTACAGTCACAAACACTAAAATTGCAGTGGTGGTACTTGACTGTTAGCAGGCAGGGGAGATGTTAAATCTGATCTAAATCAGTGCTCATTTTTTCCCCAGATGAAAATGACTGCTCATGAAAGGTTAGAGGATTTATGGGGGTGTCAAAACATATGGCAGATGGGCTGGATTAGGAGTCATGAGTATAGTAATCCAAATCCTTTCTGCCAAGCATTACAGAGGATCTCTTCCTGCTGCTGGGCTACACTAAATGTACACAGTCAGAGGAGTGCAGGCTGTCAGGAGGCTCAGAGGAAGAGTTGCTAGTGAAAGTGCTTGTCTGAGCAGAGTTCATTTTGAGAGCACTTTCTTTGCAGGCAAAAGTCTACTGGAGAACTGATTATATTATTTAATTTTAATAAATTGCTGCAACCAGTTGGGTTTTTTTTTTCTTTGGTTTGCTATATTAGTACAGAGGGATAAAAGCTGTGCAAAAGTCATGAACATTGAGAGCTCCTTCTTTAGTTAACTAGTATTTTACAGCATAATAAATTGATACACTGGTATGGAAAACCACATACTCTGATAGCTCTGAGTTCCACAAATGAATGCTTAGGTACTTCATTTGACACCGGTGTAAAATGTTTTAAAAAAAATAATAAAAATGTTTCATTAAAGCATGAAACACAACACTGCATATAGATAAGTTGTGTTCTTTGTAGAACCAAGAAGTGTGAGAATCCGGAACTTACAGATCTTAAATTTAAGCTTAAAAGGGAAGCTGCATATAGTTACTCCAGAATGAGGATGGATTATCTCCAAGGTACAACAGATTGTTTGCATTTCTAGGGCTAGGAGCAAGAGGCAAACTTTTTCATTATTACTGTTTTATGATGTATGAAGACGACCTGAAAGTTTTTAGCAGGTTTTGCTATTATCCACAAGGAATGGCATATCTGCTCTAGCATAGTTTTGCCAAAGAACTTTGTAACGTGAACTTTTTCAGCCTTTAATTGAAAAGTGCAATCATCAGGCCTTCAGGAAAGGGAGATTTTTCTTCCAGTTGTTAAGCACTAACAAAATAACAAAGCAGTCTAAGCAATCATCTGTTAATCAAGTTTCACTTGCTTAGTATTTGGTATTTCTTAATCTTTCAAGTGGTATATAGCCTTCCAGCAAAGACCTGCTCTGGATTTCTAATTAAAACAAACAAACGAATGAAGAGAAGAACCCCATCTTCCACTTCCCAGCCTCTTTCTGTCTAAGCAGCCTCCTCTTAAGAGACTCTAGAAGGGTGTATAAAAAGAGCAAAAAAGGTCGCATTTAACATTTGAGAGTTGCTTGAATGCATGTTTGAAGGAAACAAGTTTGAAAATAATTGAGCCAGAGGGGTGGGCAGAAAAATTTTCATGTAGCAAAATATTACAGGAATGAAAGAACAAGTTGAACCAAAGACATAAGGTTTTATTATGAGGGCACACATGCAAATCCATGAAATCTAAATAATAAGATTATTATATTTTTATTCCAAATGCAAACTTAGTTGGGAGTTTCAGTGATAACCAGTTTACACAGCTTTAGAGCATTAAAAACAGTTAAATAGTCCTGGCAGGCAGGGATGAAACAGTATCTGAGATAAGTTGCGAAATATTATCCAGTTTACAAATAAAAGTAGGTTGTTACAGAGGCTTTCCAGGGAATATGTTCATCATGAAGTGTAGATGTGGGTTTTGATTGATTTATTACCAAAAAAATTGTTGATTTTTCCAGGATACAGAAATACACAAAAGCAAATAAATCAAACTGGAATTAATATGGCAAATGAAATATGTGGACTCAGCCTTTACTTCACATATAAAAAGTTGCCAGCGTTTTTTAGGTGGTTCTGATAAAAGTACATAAATGCTTTCAGTATAAATTTGTTTGTTGCCTACTAATGCCTCCATTGAATTCTTTCATGTTCTCTCAAAATTGAGTGAGTTAATCTAACTGCCATTAAATATTTTAAACTTCACAAGAAGAAACTCTACAGAAATGTGAAAAGGAATTAATTTCTTCATGATACAAGCAGATAAATTATGATGACTAGACCATGTCTTGTTACTGAAACATCAGTAACCTGATGGTAGAAAACTATTAATAATTGACCTAAAATGAAGCAGCACAATCAGTATTTCATTATATCAAGGGGAGAGTCCCCCCACAAAGAAGAAAAATGAGCTGTTTGAAAGAAATGAGATGAAACATTCCAGGGAGAGGTCCTGCTTCTGAATAACTGAGGAAAAATTGAATAACTATCCTAGGAATGTGTAGTGTGAGATGGAAAAAACGGATCTAATAAAATGAAAATTATTGACAAATAATTCTTTGTTATAATGGGGGGAAAGATTGTCAAAGGGCTTACGCTGTATCTGGAGCTATTTGGCAAATAGTTTTTCTTGCCTTACAAAAGGCATCTGAGAAATTGAAATATAAAAATACACATATTTTAGCTTTTGCAGATTCTTCTGCAAAGAGAGGGTAATCCAAAACAGCTTTCATTTCAGGTGTCCATGTAATTGAGAGCAGATCTTAAGCTCATCAGTCCTAGAAATAGGTGAGAATATCTTGCTTCCTGATTCTTGTTTAGGCAGAAATGGTATCTGAAGCGTTTGAATAAGTAAGTGCTTTCGGATGCGGCAGGGGGGAACCCAACAAGCAGCTCCAGCTGGCAAATGTTGAATTATTCCATAAATAAGTGGAGGTTCTTCAAGTTGCTAGCATGATGACATGGGTAGGTGGAGGCAGCTGCATGCTTCACATATTATTTAGATGGGTATGAAGATGTAAAAGGTTTTAGAGCACTTACTTAATATGGTATGCTTGAAGAAATTAATCCAATGTATTGTTTGACTGTGAGCTGCAAAATGAAGTGGGGCTTTCAGTAGTAGGCAGATCTGAAGGTTCCAAATGATCACTGTAGTCAATAGGTAGGAGATGGAAGACCTAAACGTGAGATCTGTGCCTGTTTCCCTCTCTTGCCTTCTTGGAAAGTTTATTTAATTCTCAGGTGAAATACGTTAGGAGAGACTTCCGTTAGGGGAAACGGAACTGGAACATTCTTTAAACTTTAAATGTAGTTAGGGCAGAGTGGTGTTTGGTCACAGCTGGGAGCAAAGCAAGGATTTGGGAAGTTATGTAGGAACCATTGTAAGATTCCATAAATTCCTTTAACATAAAGGGTTTTCAAAGGGTCGTACAACTAAATGTTAAGCAAGGACTGACAGCCCTAAGATCTGTAAGAGCTTGACTCTGATACAGGCTTGATACAGTTTAAATGAAAGAGCTTGTTCTTTTAGTCTGTGGTCAACAGCATACCCCAACTTTTTGTGATCCGAATGCCAGAAACAGAGATCTATAGTGCTTGTTTCCATTACCAAAAAAAAAAAAAAAAAAAAAAAAAATTGGATATTTCTTAGTTCCTTTTGTTTGTAATTTACAGAATTAAACACCTGGTGTTGATTCATGCTGCTGATTTTTTTTTTGTGTTTTTTTTTTTTTCCAGAGAAAGAATTTGACCCTCTTCTTCAGTATTGGTTTATTGACCTCCTGGGGGACTGCGCTGCTGGGTGTCCGGTTATATTGGATGGGCAACAAGCCCCCAAGTTTTTCTAATTCTGACAATCCAGCAGCTGACTCTGACAGCTTTCTCACGCGTACGCTGACCTTCTTTTACCTGCCAACTAAGAACCTCTGGCTGTTGCTGTGCCCAGATACCCTCAGCTTCGACTGGTCTATGGATGCTGTGCCTCTTCTGAAAGCAGTCAGTGACTGGAGGAATCTACACACTGTGGCCTTCTATGCTGGACTCCTCCTCCTTGCCTACTTTAGTTTGAAGGGCTGCAGCAATGAGAAAGAATGCAATGGGAAAACTGTAATGAATGGCAAGCAGAATGCTAATGGGCACAGCTGCCACTCAGAGGTGGAGTACAAGTCACTGGAGGTGAAGTCAAGCTTTGCATCAAAAGAAGAGAATGGTATTAAAAAGCATGAAATGCAGAAACTGCAGCTTCCTTCAACTGAGAACATTGTCATTCTGTCTCTGTCTTTGTTAATAGTCCCCTTTGTTCCTGCCACAAACCTATTTTTCTATGTTGGCTTTGTAATAGCAGAGCGTGTGCTGTATGTTCCTAGTATGGGCTTCTGCCTGCTGGTTACAGTAGGTGTCAGGGCCCTTTATGTCAAAGCCCAAAAGCGCTTTCTGAAGAACTTGGTTTTTTGTTCCACTGCTGCATTAATTGTTTTCTATGGACTCAAGACTGTTGTCAGGAATGGGGACTGGCAGAATGAGGAGATGCTGTACAGGTCAGGGATAAAAGTAAACCCTGCTAAAGGTAATTTTTGCTCTTTATGGAGAATGCTTTATTTTTTTCTATCTCTCTTTGCCTTTGAATTGACTGATTTTATCAGCTATATCCAAAGAGGATACCTTAGGAAATGTTTTTTTAAGTTGCAGTAGTATGTACATAGGTAAAAAGTGAGGATTTTTAGGAATGTGTTTTGATTAGGTGTTACAGGTTTGGCATTAACATGGAGAAAATGAGATCCTAAGGTAAGAGGATACTTTCTTTTTCATTGATCTTATTTCTGTATTTTGGAATTAAAGATGCGTTATTAGTGTTACAGACCCCACCCTGGTAATTTTCCATTTGGAGTCTGGTATCTATCATGCTAATGAAGGTATTTTGTGTATTCACTGAATGTTCTGTTCTTTATGACTAGAAAATACAAGAAATAGTAAAGGACAGCATCAGGGAGGTGCTGGGTTTTTTATTTCACCTGATACAAATAACGTCAATACTACATAATAAAAATGAGGAAATGAGGTCATATTATTCAGCCTAGGAAATGACTGTAGTTCCTCCTGCATACAAGTACTGTGAAGAGTTATTGTCAAATACTACTTATGCCTTCCTGTTAATGTATAAATGTCAGCTATTAGTAACATTGCCCAGCTACTTCTCTCAATAGTTGTGTCTATGCCATAATGAAATGTGACTACAGCTAGTGTAAACACATCCAAACAGGCAGTAAACTGGCTAGTTTAGGGATCAGTAACAATGTTTAGCTGTGGCTCTGTGGTTTCAGCATATAGGGCAGATCCATCTGGGGTCCTGAACTCCATGCTGCCTGGCTGTACTGCTCTTGGAACAAGTTTATATAAGAATGGCCAAAATACTACTTCTGAGTGCAATGTAGGCATTGGCTAAGCCTTTGTTATTCACAATTCATCAGAAGTGAGGAGGGATCACTTGTTTGCTCTACCTGTCTGTGAAAGAAAAATCAGACACTGCTTGAACATACTGTGCTTGAGTTTTTCCAGTTCTCTGCTCAGAAGCTCATTACATGATGCAAAGGCATCTGCTGACAGAGGTGTGCTTCCTGGTTAGACAGTTATATCATGCTGTAGTCTAAAGCAGTGATATTAAGAGGCAAATGCAGGTGTTACTGTGAGCTGATAGGGAGTGAAAAAGTAGATTTGGCAGATAAGGTGCCTTGCAAAGCAGCATTATGGTAGGTTGTCAATCGTCAGTGTGATTTTGTAACTCTTATTCATGTAGTTTGTTGCCCTAGGTAAAATTATTAAACTTGTGGCTGCAGTAAGTGACTTTTTGTTAACTCTGAAGAAGCACATCCCATTTCGTTTATGTTTTTTTCAAAACTAGTGCAGCAGGGCAAGAAATGAAGAGAAGAAACTGAACAGCGAGACAGCACACCAGAGTGATTAAATGATGCTGTGAGACTTCCCAGTTTAGTGCCGATGTAAAGCTTGCATTAAAACACTGACATTCTGTGGAAAGAAAAGAATGTGTGTGCACTTGATTACATATTTAATGTATGTTCCATTTTCATCCTTGGTGGAGATCCCCAGTTATCATAGACTGTATTAATAGTTGTCTGCTTGCTTTGAGCCAATGTTTGTGATCTAAAAAAAAAAAAAAATCTAGTTTTTGTCCAATAGTAGGATCAGCTGCAGTGTTGTCTGGAAATTAGACTACTGGGTATTACTCTCCCAGGAGAAAAGGCAAGCTATTTTCCTCATACACATCTCAGTGTATATGATTGTCTGGTTTCTTGCCATATAAGCTGACATTAAGTTTCTTGTGAGATACGCAAAAGCGAAGACAGCATGTCAGTGTGGTGATATAGACATGACTGAGCTGACAGTAAATCCCCTTGAAATATCCTGTTAAACTTCTGCTGAATATTTACTAGCCCACACACATTGTAACAAGGCTGGGTATCAGAAACTCCCAGCTAAAGTGACCTGTCACCCAACTCTATTCATTATTGTGAATACTTCCTAGATTATCCCTGGCTTTGACGATGCTAATTTTATTTCCTATTTCTCATACAATCAGGCAAGCCTGACTGGACTAGACTGACTGCCAATCCCACCAAAGTGTTAGGAGATCAACAATTCAAACTACTCTTCAGTAACTAAATGAGGTTGATGTAGGAAAAACAATTTATTTTTGTTGGCCTCGTTTTTTTCAGGTTTATGAATGCTAGTGATAAATAGGCTATTCAGGCAGTGAGACAATGGACTGCTCAGTCAAACAGTAGAGTGGAGAAGTGTTTTCCTTCCTTTTAGGCTGCTAAGAAGAGGCTGCCACTCCTCATTTCTCTGTTTTCTTCAACTCACAGTCATTTCTCCTCGTGAGTATTTTCTTACTTCTGATCATTCTTGAGCAGTGGGATCATTTTCCCTGAAGTTTCTGCTTTTCTTCTCTTCTCCTGCAAAGAGCTTCTAAACAGGAGCTTCTTCTGTCCTAGGCTAAAAAACAAAGAGAGATCCCTACAAAAGTGCCCCGTGTGGGAACCAATAAAGAAGTAGAAATCTGTGAAGACCAGCTTTGCTAAATCAAGGAGCTGAGTGTTTTGTTCCAGATCCATCTGTATTCTGGCCTAGCAGGATGAAAGCCACTCTGTGGCTGGATGCTGTGCGACAACATTGAGCTGATATGCTGTACTAATAAGGTCATTTGAGAGGCAAGCTATTAGCTCAGGTGCATTTGTGTACTAATGTGGCTGAACTGCTTCAAAAATTGAGTTGTCTCACATGGTCATGGTTTATAATCAGGTCCTCTGCATTGTAGTACGTGTAAGGATATAATCTCCTTTGCTGCTGTGGGACTTCCAGGCAAACTTGTTCAGTGGCTTCTCCATATTCAATCCTCTGAAGAAGTGGGCAATAAGCACCTCACCAGCATGTTCTTCCGGCCCCCTCACAGGTACCTTGCAGGCAGTGCAGGCAGAGTAGTGGTGTTCTGCCTCAGGTGAGAAAGCCCCTAACCCCGCAGGCAGCCACAGCCTGCCTACAGTTTACATTTCTCCAGGCTGTTCTTGTCAATCACTGACAATGTAGGAAAAATACTGAAAAGCATAGTGCATGGCATATCTCTGAAAAAAAAAAAACAAAACCAAAATACACCACGGGAGGTTCAAGTGAGTATAAGGTGGTGATGCCACTTCTGAACCACTGTGCACATGCCGGCTTTCCTGGCTGCCCCACTGTGCGGCAGGCAGCTGCCGGCCCTGGCTGATGGGGTTGTAATGAGGACTTGGGATGCCTTAGATGCATCTGTTACTGGGCTTGTTCTTCTGCTGTTTTGGTTATAACTAGTATTTCAAATATCTTACGGTGATCTAAGCATTGCCTCGTTACAATTTGCCAGCACTTGAGGGAAAAGTAGGCAAGATTGATTAATGTAGTTTATGGATCCTGAAGTGGCTGTGTACATGTTTTGACACTAGGGAGGGAAAGGTGCAAGTGTTTCTCTGTGCTGCCTTCAACTTAATGGGCAGCCCAACTGATATAAAACAGCTTACATTATTTGAGTGCTCTTTTGTAGTGAAAGAAGCCTCTCAAAATGTAAAAACAAACAGAAAAATTAAGAATGTGTGGTGGCTGTCACTTCTTTTTCACTTAGACTGAGAGTCATTCTGTGGTGATGATTACCTCCTGTTTAATGTAAAATTATAATGATACACAAAATAATTGTTCTCATTACATCTTATTATCTCTAGTTTTCCCTGTAGTACCAAAAGCAGGCTTCAAAAAGTATAATCTTTTCCCTCCAGGCTATTTTGTACCTTGCAGTCCACATCATAATGATCTTTCATGTTCAGATGTATTTGCTGTGCTATTATAGACACAGATTAAAGAAGTAGAAGGTAACAGAGAGAGGCTTAGACTGTTAGACTGTTGCAGAGGTGCTGGTTGCTTGACCATATTTACTGATGAAATTTTAGCCTCTTGGTGTTTGCCATAACATTTCTAAGTACTCCTTGAAGATCCTTCCTGGAAGTAGTTGACCTGCTACACCAAGTGGCTGCTTAACTTTAACTGTGCATTCAAGTCTTGCTGAATTCATGTATGCGACTACTCCTTCTGCAGTGGAATGTACAGCAAGGAACGGATACTAGACTGCTTCCAAAAGCAGTATTACCAGATTATTGTGGTGCTATACCTGGTCTGATAAGCCCTGCCTCACCCTTGGCACTGATTTAGGTTGGCATTACAGCTTTTGGCTTCAGAACCAGTTTTGTGTGTTGCACTGATATTTGTCCTTGTTCCATCATGTATTAGTATTAACGAAATGTCATACCTTCGCATCTTGGGCAGGTCAGTGGGACTTCAATGTGTGCTTCAGTTTTTTCCTGAATCAGTTCTGCAGGGGGAAAAAAAAAATTGTTTAATATCTATTACGTGAAGACAAAGTTGGGGTGATGGGGTTGAGATTTTCAGTTCAAATAAACTACTGTTGGAGTCAAATTCCTTAGATGTTCCTGATAGGTGATTGACACAAAGACTGGAAAAAAAAAATATTTCTTGTGAAATCATTCAGATCATCTATGGTTTAGTATTACCTCTTATAGCCTTACTTTGAGTTAAAAGTCCTGTTCTTAGCATCTTGCTTCTTACATCAATTACCCTGTTGTTCTCAGTGGGTGTCAATAAATCCAAGATGTGATGTTGACAGAGAATATAGAAGTTGTTGCCTATGAATATAGAGAGCCACTTTCCTTCTATCTTTCCTCTCCTTCCTACTCCCAGTTCTTCTGAGTGTGAATCATTCAATTTTGCTTAATGTTTTCAGAAGATATTCTCATACTGTAATACTCTTCTAGACTACAGTGTTCCTTTTCCTTGTCCTACTTTTCTTTTTTTGTGGGTTTGTTTGTTTTTTTTTTTCCTTTGCAACAGGCTTGTGAGATCTTCCTGCCTCATTCTACTACATTTGTGCCTGGAGGAGATTTAAAGAACTTCCTTTGCTTTTTTTTTTTTTTTTTTTTGGCATCTTTGGCATAGCATTCAGCCTTGATCAGT